AACAAAAATGTGTTAACACACGCACACAAGCCTTCCTCAGTTACAGTCTGCTGCTGTCCGCCACATACCATCATCTCTATCTAGTCCCTCACCCAACACCTCCTCATTCATACACACACACACACACACACACACACACACACACACACACACACACACACACACACACACACACACACACACACACACACAAAGCTCTGGCCTCTGTCACTGTGACAGCCTGGCATGTGCAATCACACAAATCAAAACACACACTGTACTGTAAAATAACAGAAAAAAGGATGATCTCTGTTTGATTCCTTTGTATTTTTGTAAACTTTTCACCCTATTTATATCCTTTAATAGCCTGTAGTGGTAGCCTTGCTGCTGAATCGGGACCTATCTTGCTCAATCATTTTCTTGTACAACACGCAAAACTAACACAAACACAGACTTGGCTTTTATACATTAACTTGAACCATAAAAGCATGAATCATTTCTGACTCTGCTGCCACTTTAAGCCCTCGCAGGCTCACAGGGGCCCACGCCTCGATATTATTAGCCACCAATTGGTGGTTCTGTTATCAGCATGCAGTTACACATTGATGACAGTTCCCCATTTCCATTGAGGCAATATTGCTCTATTTGCCTTGACTTCTTACAAGAGAGGGTGGGGGGCAGAAAATCAATACTGCTGTATATGGTTATAGGTTATTGTATAAGGTTCACGTACACATACAGATAGTGGGTGTTTTGGCCAATTAAAAGGGGAACTTCACAAGTTTGACCAATTAAAAGTCCATTTGAATGCAAATATATAATTCTCTGCTTCAGCTGCACTGCATTTGAGTCTCTAAAAAGACTTCCTATGGTTTAACAATGTTGTAAAGTAAAATGCTAAATTGGTGCTCTTTTAAAAGGGCCTGCAGCTGTACAATAGACCCACACAGGTGTTTAATGTAATCAGATTACAGTTCAATTAGCACTGAGCTACCAGCTGCCCAAGTACAATATATTACCAACCGACCGACCTACCTACCTACCTACCTACCTACCTACCTACCTACCTACCTATATGCAATGCAGATGACCCATTCATGACATAATATCAAATAAAGTATATTATTTTGGTAAAATAAAAATGGCATATAAGGTGGAAGAATGGAGAAGCAGGAAAACCTAGGAGGTAGAATACCCTGTTGATAGGAGTGAGGACACACACCCACACGCACGCACGCACGCACTCACACACGCACGCACACACACACACACACACACACACACACACACACACACACACACACACACACACACACACACACACACACACACACACACACACACAGGACTGTATTATAGTCTCATAACTCAGTGAGAGACCGTCAGGGGAAGTGGCTGCACAATGAAATGGCCTCCTGTGTTTACGTCCACTAGTGTTGATGACAGGTATAAATATGTCCTTATGAACACAGCAGCCGCCGTAAACTTCCCACTAAAGGCGCTCAAGCATCCGGAACTATTTTTCATGTTTGTCATAATGAAGTACACAAAAAAGTAGACCTTGATGATGATTATTCGAAATGCATATGCCGTCTCAGCACACGTAAGCAAATAACGTGATAACAAATTCGAACCAATCTTTTAAATGTCAGCCCATGTTTGTGCTCTTTCATAAATGCATATTCATATAATACTTTTCTGCGGGATAACTTGATAACTGTGCCTGTGGGGCATGAACAGGCCAATATACGTGTCTTTATTTCAATTGGAGAGAAACAATAGGCCTACAGTTTTTATGGCGCGTTTACTGAGATAATTGCAATTGTAAATCGAACAAATTACTCGAAATTAACAATTATCATAGGGAAAGACTGAGGTCGTATAATAGTCAAATTAAGGCATAAGGCCTAGTAGGCTACAATTTAACGAAATCATTTTTATTTAATTATAAATTAAAGTTGCTTTTCAACTTTCAAATTGTTTGACAGAAATATAAACTGATCTTTTAAACGTTTGTAACAGCTAAAATGAGACATTTAAATAAATGAAAATTGGAATTCACAAACGAAAATAAAAGTTTTTTTGTATTTAAAAGATTACCTAAATCCAGAAACAACAACAAAAGGTTGAATTGAATTGAGGACATAATTAGATAATAACAATAGATGTAAAGGCAAAAATCTTCAGCTATCTATAATAAAACCTTATTTGGATGGTAATTGTTATTATGTAAAATCAGCCTATTAAGTTTACGTTTCATGAGAGAGAGAGAGAGAGAGAGAGAGAGAGAGAGAGAGAGAGAGAGAGAGGAGGAGAGAGGAGAGAGGAGTACGACGGTAGTGACGAGAGAGAGAGAGAGAAGAGAGAGAGAAGAGAGAGAGAGTAGAGTACGTACGAGAGAGAGAAGAGAGACGTAGACGTAGACGACGACGAACCGGACGAACGACGACGGTT